GTTCGTTCATTGCTGACTGAACATCGAATGCATCACCCACGATCGTCTATAATGAGACTGTACATTCCGCGTAAATGTGGGGGGCGAGGCTTTTTAAATGCAAAAACCCTCCACAATAGTGAAGTGTGCAGTCTCCGAAAGTATTTTTTGAAAATGGACGTGGGGATGCATAGAGATGTTGTCGCTGTGGACAAAGGGCTTACTCCGCTCTCCTTGGCTAACGAGAACTGGAGAGAACCTATAATACTAAGCACTAATGATCGCAGGAATGTGTGGCAAAGTAAGGAGTTGCACGGACGCTACTATCGAGCCTTACATGGGCCAAATACGGATTTCTTAGCGTCCGTATCCTGGCTACGTTTCAGTAACTTATTTGGAGAAACGGAAGGTTTTGTCTGTGCAATTATGGACGAAGTTATGATGACGAACAATTATCGAAAATATATTATAAAGGATGGAACTGTTGACATTTGTCGGGCATGTCATCATCCCGGGGAATCCATCCGGCATATAATTTCGGGTTGTTCTCACTTAGCTAATGGAGAATACTTGCATAGACATAATCTTGTAGCCAGGATTATTCATCAACAACTTGCTTTGAAATATAAACTTGTAGAATCTGAAGTGCCGTATTATAAGTATCTGCCTGACCCAGTTCTTGAAAATGGAGATGTCACACTGTATTGGGATCGAACTATCATCACAGACAGGACAATTGTTGCAAACAAACCTGACATTGTGGTGATAGATCGACCAAGCCGTCGCACAATGATAGTTGATATAACAATCCCACATGACGAGAATCTAGTGAAAGCTGAAAAAGATAAAGCAAGTAAATATCTTGATTTAGCTCATGAGATTGTCGACATGTGGGATGTGGATTCAGCAGTCATTGTGCCGATAGTCGTATCTGCCAATGGCCTCATTGCTAAAAGCCTCGACCAACATCTGAGTAGGCTAGCGTTAGATGGTTGGGTCAAGGGCCTGATGCAGAAAGCAGTACTTCTGGACACGGCGCGTATTGTTCGGAAATTTCTTTCTCTGGAGCCCTGACCACCGGTAGCTTGGATTTCTCCCGTTACCGGTGGGCTACTGCTTTTTATATTTTTAAATGTTTTTTTTTTTTACATATAATGAAATATTTAAAAATATTTAAATCAAGTATGAAAATAAATAAAGGAAATAATAATAATATATGCAACTTAGTACAAATAATAGGCTACCTAAAGAAGCCATCAAAACAATCCCAGGTCTTTTACCTCTCAAATAATTGAACTATGGAGAGGTGATATGCGTCACCCAATAAAAAACTTATCCGAAAATAGGTAACTCAATTCTATTTAGTAGAGAAGTATAAATAGAAATAGATTGATACCCATAAATAAAGGCTGAGTCCACCATATACAATTGAACAATGATCTAATCCGTCGACTTCAGTTAGTATCAACAAGACACATAATTGTATTAATAATATAGGTTATTGACACTAGACTACCTAGTTTGTAAATTGTCGTTTAAGATTTAAACTTCCATTCAAATGATTTGTTACCTTCCTTTTGATCTAAGCATTTAGATATTTATACAGTTTAGTTAAACGATTGGTTATTTGAATTAATAAGCTCAAGTTATGATAACAATCTGCTGTGTCTGGAATTTAATTTATGAGTTCAACTGGTATTAATTATTTAGACAATTTTACGTGTCAAAAGAACTTTTTGTTAATAATGCTACTATTCTATGTATGTATTTATCAAAACATTTCACTTTTTTTAATCAAAATATTTATTTAATTGTCTAATTGTGGCTTTATAGCATGACCGACTAAAAAAAATCTCATAGAAGTTATTCTTAACGAAGACAAAAGGTTCAACAGTAAAATTCTTTGCATCTTTGCATTGGCACAACGTCCTAAGTTAAATTGTTTCGCCAGTGCCAAACAGGTTAACGCAGTTTTAAACTTTGGCTATTTGTGTTAACTATTAAACGTTTGAAGAGTTAATCTGGGTTTACGATGCACTGTGACGAATTCGTTAGTTATAGTGCAACCCACCTATTGTTAGTTAGTACTTTTATTTGTTAAGGACTTATTCTTTATTTGTTGTACTTGTTCTCAAATTCGTCCCTTTTGTTGTTAATAGAAATCCATTTTCTTAGTTGTTTTAAACAAAATTCATTAGTACAGCTACATACAAAAAGTAGCATAGATTATCACAAATTTGAAGGATAGGTATTGTCCAAATGTTTACCACCATTTGAGTATTTAGCCAAACTTCTCTGTGTTAGTTTTACCTATCTAAACTTCTCTTTTGTTGACCTCTAGCCCACCTTGCTAGCTACCATTAGACCCAAAAATCTTCGTATTTGCGTTATCCTAAACTATATTTGTGTTGTTAACAGACCGCGTCGGAGCAGCGAGCGCCCGCCCCCGAGGAGATGCAGGCACGACACAGCCTCTGGTGGCACCTACTTATTGATCTACCTATATTGTTATTAGGTAAGTACTTTACTATTTACTTAAACACTGCTATTTACCCCTCCAAGAAGAGGGTTTGTCTTTACATTGGTTTTATAATTATGTAGATAGATTTTATATAGAATTTGTTAGACCACGTAAACTAAATGAATTTTAACGTGCATGCATTATAAAGCCCCTTAATCCGTTCGGTTCTTCAAGTCGTGCACCTAGGTGTCTTCAAGGCCTAAGTGAATAGGTTGCCTATGGGCTGACGTGCACCATCCTAGGCCGCATCATCGCTTACCACCAGACGAGGTGGCGGTCAAACGTCGGTCCATCAAATTTATAAATAAAAAGGCTGGAAATTGTCATAGACCTTTTATCAGTAAGTAAAAAGGACTAGGAAGGTCTCGTCCGAGACCTTTCCCTACTCCTTATACGTTTAGAGTTTGAACTGCCTATAAACTCTTACTATTTTAAAACAGTCAGTAATCGTACTTTTTAACAATACTAAGAGATAATAATGCATGTATCAGCCATATAATAAATTACCTAATGTTAAACGTTTTATAAGTCGTTAGGAGACCATTTCCTTATCATGGGAACTTTATAACTTTACGACAATAACCTAGGGATGTAACGGGATTCGTCGGTTCATAGTTATTTGGTACAATAAACACTAAATGGCCCATTCATGGCTGTATTACATAGCCTGGTGCAGGCCTTTAGGCTGTGTTAGAATTCCTTTAGTGTTCATATATCAGATGGTGTAAATGCAGTATGAAATTTGGTAAATCCATCCATACAAAAATAGGAAAAAACACAAATCAGATCAAACACTTCTAAGCTAATTTGTATCGTAAAAATTACAAATTATTGCAGTATGTGCAATAATGGTCATAAAATAAGAAGTGCCAGACACAACTGAAATATTTTATGGCCCACGAAAATCTAATCTTAAATATTACTACAAATACCTGACACAACACAAGAAGGGGACATAAAAACCACTTTATATACATGCATACAATGGCCCAATTACCCTCCCCTTCCCCAATCTCCCCAATCCCTGAATCCCCAACGATCCTCAAACTCCTAATCCCCAAAAGGCCGGTAACGCACTTGTAACGCCTCTGGTGTTCCAGGTGTCCATGGTCGACGCCAATTGCTTATCATCAAGTGATCTGTCTGCTCGTTTACCGGCTTATGCCATAAAAAAATACCTTTATTGAAAACCTCCTCCACTTTGAAGTCGGCTAATGATTTATTTTAGTTTCCATTAAGAACGTAATGAAGCTACTGACATTAAAGAACTTTGAGAATTTACTACACAATATTGTAACGAGGTAACAACACTTTACCTGCCTCATAACTTATATCGTACCTTTTAAAATATTTACAGATAACATTAGAACGTTTGAGTTTGACTAAGTTAACGAGTGTCACCATTAGGGCGTTCTTAACAGATACAAGTCACCAAATGGATCCTCTACGAACTTGAATAATGGTCAAACGATTGCTAGAAGGTTCTATAAAGTTTTCAAAACACGATCGACAATCAAACTTCCTTCGTGATTAGTTAAAAGGCATTTTGTAAGTGAATAATCGATGTGGACGTCTATGCTAAATTGAAACTGCACGGTTGGCGCGGTAGCTGGTGGCCGCCGCGCAACGTGTCGCGGGTTGGATTCCCGCACGGAGCAACTCATTGTGTGAGTTGTTCCACAGATTGTTGTTCCGGGTCTGGGTGTGATGTGTTTGTGAACTTGTATGTTTATAAACGCACCCACGACACAGGAGAAAATCCTAGAGTGCGGCAATGTTTTTTTTTTTCAAATTGTTCAAATTCGACACGCTCTGTTTACAGCCATAATTTAATGTTTTCACCGCCATATTTAGAGCCAAATTATACGCTGTTAAACTTTCAATTTATTTTGCAAAACCTCACATGATCTGGATAGAAAAACATTTCTAACCTTTTCTTTTTTTTTGTGCATTTTGTCTGTTGCCTTAAAACTTTTTCATCTTCTTTTGTTTTCTTTCCTAAGTATTCCATTCACAAAACACAAATATTTCCGTTCATACATCCGTGACGTGACTGAGAATATAGTTATCATAAAATCCAACTTGGAACCTTAACTTACCCATAAATTTTCATAGTCTAGACCAACACAGCCTTAAAAGTACTAGGTATACTATTTTCAATTCATAAAGCCTAGTTCTCACGTGGTAGTAACTATAACATCCGACTAACGGGTCACTGTGTTGTGGGAATTGTCCGGTTTTTGCCGGACGCCTGGTCGTAGGAGAATTCGAATTATTGGACTATTATTACCGATAATTGGTGGTTAATGGGATATAAATACTTGTGTGGTATTTAATAAGTGGTTTAAGGAGTTGTAGTAGAGAGAAAAGTAGGTAGTTTGTTATATTTATAAGTGACTCTTGAAATTAGGTTTTCTTTGGTTTGCCGTATTGGTTTAGACGTGGCTAGCGTGAATGTTGAAATTATAAAGTAGACGGATTTTATTACTAATAAAATAACGAATAATTAGTAGCTACCTAAGTATTTTTTAAGGGGGGAAAATCATCGAATAATGATCCCGCCTGAGTGAGGCGGGAGGGAGTGTCAGACTCGTACTGACTAAAAACCACCCCGTTCCTTCTCCTGAACGTCGAGCCGGAGCCCCGGTTGCTACCTAAGTATATATACCTAAGTATACCTACAATATATTTATTTTTAAAGAGACCAAGTCAAAGAGCTCAACTCAGCTCAGAAAATCAGATTAATTGCAGTAATTTCATAGGCTTTTATTTTCTTGCACAATACAATATTTTGCTAGCCTAATTAATATATTCATTACGCATCAATGTTGCAATAAAATTAATATTTTTTGACAATATTACAAAAAATATGATGAACTACAAATCATAGTCACGTGGCTGACGCATATAAAATTATAATAAAACGCATATGTACACGTTTAGCTTGCTCAATGGTTTTAAGAAACTACGCACGATTTTTTTAAAACAATTGTATTTCGTCAGTGATCGAGGCAAATCAAATTACTTCAAGTCATCGAAGTGTTTCAGTAAACATTGTCTGTGAGAACTTAAGTGCAGTCTTAGTCAGGGGTACTCAAACTTAGGGCTGTTAAGATATTTTAGAAAATTGACAAAATTAACAAATTAAAAAAATAAATTAATTCCCTGTTAATATCTAATTCTTAATTTAAATTTGGAGCTGGTGTGGTCATATTGTGACCAAAAGCCCCTAAATCTATAGTAGGCAATAAAAGATCTTATATCTTGTACTCTTATACTATTATATAAAGTGGAAGACAAGTGGAACAGTTTGTTTTTTTGTTTGTTTGTTTGAACGCGCTAATCTCCGTAACTCCATGTCTGATTGGAATAATTCTTTTTGTGTTGGATAGTGGATTTATCGAGGATGGCTATAGGCTATAAAACATCACGCTACAACCAATAGGAGCTAAGCAGGGCGTGTGAAACCGCGCGGAAGTAGCTAGTTATTTTAATAAAGTACGGTATGTGAAAATCCTACTTAGGAAAAGTAGGTTTCACAACAGCTTAAAAGTTTAAGTACAGGTTACTAATCATAAATTTAAATTTACATTTTTTATTCTCCTCACAATACTTAAATAAGTTTGTATAAATTATCTAGAAATATTACTCTGAAAAAAATTCATATTACATGGGACTCATAACATAAATAGTGAAAAGTGGGTGTTAAATAGTACAATTGTATAATGTGCCTACACCCCTTAGAGGATAAAAGGCGTGATGTTATGTTATGTAAAAATTCACCGATGCGCGTACGCACCGCATGAAACAGCTTCAGCAGTTGAACACCACTGCCGCAACCTATAACGTTACCATTTCATGTGAACACATGCCTTTGCACGCATGTGTGTGTGTCGTACACGTGTACGTGTAACATGAGAAGATTGTTTTTAAATTCATCGCAAAGTAAAGAATGTCAACATCATTGTCATAAGCAGACACCTCGTGATCTTGTACTAGGATCTGAGTCAGACCACCTAGGTTATACCTAAGATAGTTTACTACTTAGTATGCCTATCTAATAGCTGAGATCACACGTAGTAGAGTATCGATTTCGTTATGATTTTTTTATGGGAGCAGCCGGTAATCGAGCAGACGGATGTTGATAAACAATCGCACATGGACACCTGGAACATTAAAGGCGTTACAAGTGCGTAACCAGGTTTTTAGGATTAGGAATTTGAGGATTATTAGGGATTCAGTGATTGGGGATGGGGTCTCTGGTAACCTCACTTACACGATGAAACACACAGCAAGCATTGTTTCATGTCGGTTTTCTGTGAGGCGGTGGTATCGCTTTGGTCGAGCCGGCCCATTCGTGCCGAAGCATTGCTCACATACTTAGACTTTGGTTTTCAGGAATGGTGTTAAGGTGTTATTATTAAACTGAAGTCATCTAGTATCAATATGATGACATCTAGTATTTCGTTTAAAACAAAACAGAACCTTACTGAAACTGGCTTACTGACTTTCAATTTATTAACGAATGATTAAAGATGTCTTATTTGATTTTACAGTTTTTTTTTCGAACTTTCACAAGTTCATAGGAACCTACCCAGATCAATGACTTCAGGGTAATCAAAACCCGATACTTTGTTTATCCTACAACAATACATTGACAACATCTTTACTCATCATTGTTTGTCCAAACACCTAATGAGTAGCTATTACCTATTCTCAAGTTACTAACTTGTTGGGTGGTCGCTGATCATGACTGTCATTGTAATTTAATACCTTACACTGTTGACATAACACTGACATTGCTTTGACACCAAGTCACGAAGTACCATCGCCCACACAAGTGCATTATTTAATGATTAAACAATTAAGATTTTATGACTAGATTTCTCTTGGGTTTTGTGTTTTATTTTCTTGTTAATTAGGTAGAATATTGTTGTTTATTATACTTGATTAGCCGACGGATTTTTTGTACAAAGTTTTATTAGTAGTTTAGT